TAGTTAAGAGAAGCATTTATTAAACTACGTAGAACTCGCAGTTAATTTCGCCGCCTGTGATAATTATACCCTTGTAGTTTCTAAATTTCCTATTTGATGACACTACCCTCATAAACTGAGACGATCAATGTTGCTAGGAAATTGCTATATCTTCAACGTTTGATCATTCATGATACAAAATCATGTCTACCAATTGTACAAAACATCGATATATCAACATTTGAGAGCTTTAACACTATAAATCACTACACTTATATCTGCTTACTCCCTTTCACAATAGTAAACAACTTCTCTGTCTCACAATTAATGTTCTTAGGAGTGTGATGCTACTAATGTCAATTTCCACACAGTTTACTAATTTAAAGTTTCTTTTAAAACACGACTCCTCACAGGTCCAGCACAAAGACTAGAAATGCTATATAGTAATAGATAAAAGACAGTAAATGTGGAGAGGTGCCATGGGGTAGTAAGTGAGAAAGATTCTTGTCATCAACATCTTAAATAAAATATACCGGCTACTGAAACAACATCTCAGCATAACTGTCGAGAGGAATACAAAATATTCATCAACACATTTATTATCAATATAACAAGAATAAATATAACGACATAAATACTTCCTTGATTTTGAATTTAATATCAATTAATAATTCTTGTATAACAAGTTAATGTTGATTGTATTGGTACTGGGTTAATGTTGATTGTATAGGTACACTGGGTTAATGTTGATTGTATTGGTACACTGGGTTAATGTTGATTGTATTGGTACACTGGGTTAATGTTGATTGTATTGGTACACTGGGTTAATGTTGATTGTATTGGTACTGGTACACTGGGTTAATGTTGATTGTATTGGTACACTGGGTTAATGTTGATTGTATTGGTACACTGGGTTAATGTTGATTGTATTGGTACACTGGGTTAATGTTGATTGTATTGGTACACTGGGTTAATGTTGATTGTATTGGTACACTGGGTTAATGTTGATTGTATTGGTACTGGGTTAATGTTGATTGTATTGGTACACTGGGTTAATGTTGATTGTATTGGTACTGGGTTAATGTTGATTGTATTGGTACTGGGTTAATGTTGATTGTATTGGTACACTGGGTTAATGTTGATTGTATGGGTACACTGGGTTAATGTTGATTGTATTGGTACACTGGGTTAATGTTGATTGTATGGGTACACTGGGTTAATGTTGATTGTATTGGTACACTGGGTTAATGTTGATTGTATTGGTACACTGGGTTAATGTTGATTGTATTGGTACACTGGGTTAATGTTGATTGTATTGGTACTGGGTTAATGTTGATCGTATTGGTACACTGGGTTAATGTTGATTGTATTGGTACACTGGGTTAATGTTGATTGTTTTGGGACACTGGGTTAATGTTGATTGTATTGGTACACTGGGTTAATGTTGATTGTATTGGTACACTGGGTTAATGTTGATTGTATTGGTACACTGGGTTAATGTTGATTGTATTGGTACACTGGGTTAATGTTGATTGTATTGGTACACTGGGTTAATGTTGATTGTATTGGTACATTGGGTTAATGTTGATTGTATTGGTACACTGGGTTAATGTTGATTGTATTGGTTTGGTACACTGGGTTAATGTTGATTGTATTGGTACACTGGGTTAATGTTGATTGTATTGGTACACTGGGTTAATGTTGATTGTATGGGTACACTGGGTTAATGTTGATTGTATTGGTACACTGGGTTAATGTTGATTGTATTGGTACACTGGGTTAATGTTGATTGTATTGGTACACTGGGTTAATGTTGATTGTATTGGTACACTGGGTTAATGTTGATTGTATTGGTACACTAATATCAATGTTTTTGACATATATATGTATAATATGTAATATAGTTAAGATATCCTTTTGCGTATTTTTAGTGTTTCTTACATTACAATGGTAGATCGAGACACTTGCCAAATTTATCATTTGTAAATTATATATAGGTTTTCTCACACTTTAAACAATACCATGTCGCAGAACGATTCCGATTTCGATGTCGTGCTGGCAAATAGTAAAGTTTTATCGAAAGTAAATAAAAACATGAGAAGAATTCATATTCTTATTCAGATCGATTGGTATGAAACAGACTGGTGACACATTGGAGCTGGATGAGTACTTAAGTTTGCTCTAATGGCTAGAAGGAGGTTGAATGTGGATATGCCATGCATTAGATATGATGATATCTCGAAATGAACAATGATAACATGTCACTCGGAATTAGTGAAAACGACGTCAAAAATTTACAATAGTGCAAATAATATTATTTGGTTAAAAGCAAACATCTTTCATTTCATTTAATGGACTGAAAAAGAAACCTTCCAAACAAATGGGCGTAGCTGATACTTAAAACGCTATCTTTTTTCCATTGAGTAATTTTTGTCTTGATAAGCGGAACATAAATGTTTTCGTCTTAGGACCTGTAGTAATGCTATATAACGATTCGTGCAAATCGTCCTCCCTCTGATGTTGGGGTCAATCAAAAATACATTAAGAGAACATCGAATATACAGACAGGTCTGTTTCACCAGAAGTACATCAATTACACCCTTGTACATGAAATGTATTGACATGCATGTTAAAAAATTAGCCAATTTCATATTTGAAATGAAATGACAACTACAGGGATCAGAAAAAATACATGCAAAAATAAAAGACATGATAAGTACATCGCTTAAAAGAAATGGCAAACGTTAATATACCCGGTGACATGATGTTAAAAACCTTGTTACCATGACAATCTTAAAATTATCCTGCGTAGAATACAGTAAAGTCTTGTTAGCGATAAAAAAATACGTTCTCAACGTCAGCCATCCTGACACTAGGACATGGATAAGTAGCTTAACGTAACATTGAAGATACTAATAAATGAGACTATAGGGGAAAATAAAGTTAACGAAAATCAGCATTTATTGGTACTAAACAGCGATCCCTGTACCGACATCATTGTCAGTAGTATAACATCCTACAAGAACAATCTGTGGAGAAAATAATTAGATCCAAGATCAATGATATGACGTCATGATTTCGGGTGCCAACGGTGAGCGGATTGGATAATTCGTATTCAAATCAGATGTTGTGGTATTTTATCGTACATTATTAACAATACATCACGCTTCGAAATGTTTAATCAAATTTCATCCAACTTCTAAACATTCTGTCAAATCTTCAGCAGCAGCAACTACAGCAGCAGCATATATAGTAGAAACGGTTAAATTGAAATAGGCATGTTTCGAAGATGGATTCAAGCAACTGATCAGTTTCTCAACTTAATATTGACACCAGTTTTCTGTTTCACATTTCACCAACACGAAAGTAGATAAATTCTTGCAAATTTCTTGAAAAGGTACAAAGAATCCCTCCCCTTTTTTAATTGTTTACTTTATATTAAATGAGCTACTATTGGAAATATTGGAGAGCAGTTCAAATTCAGAAGAAATAAGTTTCGAGCCTCGAAAAAAAATATGTACTCGATAATGCTTCATCGATAGCAATGCTATAGGGGATTGTGCAAGTGAAGTGGTAACTCATGTATAATACTAAACAAGGTTTTACCTAACTCGGAAGTTTAATACATTACCTACATATTTTCACTTAGTAGAGTAATAAGCATGGCGTAGTTTTTATGACTCTCTACTCTCTACAACTCTCTACAACTCACAGATAACCATACATCAGATGGTTGCGAGAGTTGTCGACAACTCACAGATAACCGTACATCAGATGGTTGCGAGAGTTGTCGACAACTCACAGATAACCGTACATCAGATGGTTGCGAGAGTTGTCGACAACTCACAGATAACCGTACATCAGATGGTTGCGAGAGTTGTCGACAACTCACAGATAACCGTACATCAGATGGTTGCGAGAGTTGTCGACAACTCACAGATAACCGTACATCAGATGGTTGCGAGAGTTGTCGACAACTCACAGATAACCGTACATCAGATGGTTGCGAGAGTTGTCGACAACAAACAGATAACCATACATCGGATGGTTGCGAGAGTTGTCGACAACTCACAGATAACCATACATCGGATGGTTGCGAGAGTTGTCGACAACTCACAGATAACCATACATCAGATGGTTGCGAGAGTTGTCGACAACTCACAGATAACCGTACATCAGATGGTTGCGAGAGTTGTCGACAACTCACAGATAACCGTACATCAGATGGTTGCGAGAGTTGTCGACAACTCACAGATAACCGTACATCAGATGGTTGCGAGAGTTGTCGACAACTCACAGATAACCATACATCAGATGGTTGCGAGAGGTGCAGATTGATCAACATTATGGGTTTTATGAATATTGTGAAATCTTCTATTTCCAAGTGATATTTGATGCGTTTGACGTTCTTTAGTATGTTTTATAGGCCCTATGTTATAATCGAATAATAGTTTGGGAACGTGACATTGTATATTTAGAGATTGATAAAGAAGCAAAAGACGCTTACACTTCTAGAACACCTGATCTTATTTTCCTTATTTCTCCCGTGATCTACAAGTAAATATGTCTTCAGTTCATGCCGTGCCCCCAAAAAATCATGTCGGTATTTACTTTCTGATTTTCACAAACAACACACAGAGCAAGCATTTGAAATAAGTACTACAACCAAATATGATAATGTTGTACATATTTTCTGACGTAAAAGGTATTTAAAGTAAGAACCTTCACATTGCAATTGTGATTATTTATGACGCACACTTTCTCACTTCTTCTACCTCATTTCCTTTTAAAGTCTTAATAATGAATCATGATTCTTTGTATTGTGAAGAATAATTGTAATATTTGTATTGTTGTCTGTGTTTTGGTTAACTGTCATTCTCCTATAGATTTATCAATGATTTAAACGAACTACAGTTTAGTAACAAACGCATTATCCTTATTGTGTACACATATACCTGTATTCCACCAACAGCTGGTGATAAATTACTGCTAACTCACCTGTGTTTGTTTCTATTTTACAGATACATGGCTATCATACACCCACTTCGGCCACGTAAGACGGGTCGCGTGGTGCTCGCTATCTGTATCATCTGGGGCGTGTCCACATTCCTCTCGATACCAAATCTCATATATGGAAACACGGAAGTGAAAGATTTCGGCAATATCTCAATCACCATGTGCTTTATTCAATGGCCTGATGGCAATGCTACCACAGGAAGTAGAACTGATTTTGCGTAAGTATTTTCAATTTTGAACCAATTTCTTAAAATATTTTCATTAATCGCACGACCTTTTACCAGATGAATTAATATCAAATTCCTGTTAAATTCATGCTTAAACTCTCCAAAGTCGTAGAAGAATTCGGAAAGTCCATTGCTACAACACAAAAGGTAATGGTAAGAATGCTTATTTTGCTAAAGATACATCAACATGCTCATTGCTTATGCACTCTTTGAGGCAATTTAAGGAACATCATGGCCTACACGCCTTACCACAATAAATTACTAAATTCTCCATCTATATTCAAGAAGGGATAAATAGTTTGCTCTAAGAATCTTAATTATTGCCATCTTAAATGGTCGGCCATTGACAAGAGTACTCCAACATACAAGTATACTCATAGTGTTGTAACCAGAATATCAATTTACTGTGTGATGAGGACGTTAGGGTAGGACGACTGTTGACATACTTTCAGTTCTAATATATTAGCCCAATGCTTACAAACTTGATGATTCCATTGTTGTTCTAACGGAAAATAATAAACGTCTCAGTTGAGGAATAAATTTGCAAAAAGACATTGAGTGCAGCAAAATGATTACCAGTTTGGTTTTAAACAAAAATGGACAACAACATATTTATGTCTTTAGTCGAATTAATCACCCACTAAAATATTTACATCTTGACTTCCGCTCCACCTCATCTAGTTAACTCCGACCATTTCAATTCCCGATGAAAGAATTAGGTTGCTACTACGTCATGGGCGAAAAGATATAGTTTGTAACATGGTGCATCGTTTTGTAACAGTGCTGCAGGACAGATCTATTGTACGTGTTCATACGTATACCAGCTGTTCTATAGGCAAAATCAAACATACCAGTAGAATGCAGACCGTTTAAAAGCACAGAGCCTGACTGAACACTGACAATCCTGAAATCATCATAACGTGAACAATTATCTAATACTCGATAATTTCCTCAGGTAAAACGGTATTGTATATGAACTTCTCAGTTCACTCATTTGCACGAGGTTCACTTCCTTTTATCAGTCTAGACAAGCAACAAAACAATCAAATTGTAAGCGTAAACGTATATACTGCTGTTCATGGATTCAGACGCTTTTATGGACAAATTCAGTTTTATTAAATGATAAGATAGACATTTTTCATTTTGTAAAGGGGTGAAGGTAATCAGATTACTTATGTGAAAATAAAGATGCCACTTGTAATAGATGTAAGTATTACAATATTTTCCCCATTTCTTCCATCTCCTGCGAATGTTAAAAATATGATTGGTCGGAAATTACACTATATGATACCTGCGCATGTTTGTAAGCTGTAAAAGCGATACCCTCCTAGTATCTATGACGCACAGTTCTGATTATATTTGAATTTAACTTTATATTGAAATTATCAGATATATCAAAAAAAAATAATTAAATTAAGTGGCTAAAGCACCATCCCATCTAATTTTTAATATTCATTTCGATCACTTTAAAATTTCCTCAGTCGCTTACTAGTTCAAAAAGCATCACTGACGAGTCCTAGAAGGACGAAACAGCTGTATGTTGTAGCATCTTTGACGAATCCTAGAAGGACGAAACAGCTATATGTTGTAGCATCACTAACGAGTTCTAGAAGGACGAAACAGCTGTATGCTGTAGCATCACTGTCGAGTCCAAGAGGGACGAAACAGCTATATGTTGTAGCATCACTAACGAGTTCTAGAAGGACGAAACAGCTGTATGCTGTAGCATTACTGACGAGTCCTGGAAGGTCGAAACAACTGTATGTTGTAGCATCACTGACGAGTCCTAGAAGGACGAAACATCTGTATGTTGTAGCATCACTAACGAGTCCTAGAAGGACGAAACAGCTGTATGCTGAAGCATTACTGACGAGTCCTAGAAGGACGAAACAGCTGTATGTTGTAGCATCACTGACGAGTCCTAGAAGGACGAATGAGCAGTATGTTGTAGCATCACTGACGAGTCCTAGAAGGACGAAACAGCTGTATGTTGTAGCATCACTGATGAGTCCTGGAAGGTCGAAACAGCTGTATGTTGTAGCATCACTGACGAGTCCTAGAAGGACGAATGAGCAGTATGTTGTATCATCACTGACGAGTCCTAGAAGGACGAAACAGCTGTATGTTGAAGCATCACTGACGAGTCCTGGAAGGTCGAAACAGCTGTATGTTGTAGCATCACTGACGAGTTCTAGAAGGACGAAACAGCAGTATGTTGTAGCATCACTGACGAGTCCTAGAAGACTCTAACAGACTAAAATACATATTTGAAAAAGAAAATTAAAATGACGGAAAGTCGAAGTGTCATGGACATGCTTAATACTTAACCCACGGATCCAACTACGTTAAATACAGTCATGTGGATACATGTGAACATTTAGTTGGTTGTTGGTTGGTTGGTAGTTGGTTGGTTAGTTAGTGTTTTTTAGCAGTTTCCGTGTAAAATCTTTCTTTTGTTCATATTTTGCCTTAATTTCATCGAATTTATGTTTTTTAATTTTGATTATGACTATAATTTTCTTTGTTTTTATACCACCAATTAGATTGGGGTTATTGTTGGTTGGTAACTCTAGTCCTGTCTAACGGAGATTCCACTTGGGACTAAAGTCTGCAGTTATCTCAAATCTGTTGAAGATGAACGTGAAGATGCTGTTGTTTCAAACGTGAAGATACTGTTCTTTCAATAAAAATATTCCAATGAACTAATGTTTTACACAATGCCATGGAGTCATATCTGTGTTTTTCCTGAACGTAAACGATAGCTCCGTGTGGTATGTGAAATAAATCTGTATTTTTTTGCATATTTTTCCGAGGTGTGGAAGAACATCAAGAAATGTCATATAGTTGAGTTTTTTTTGACATTTGTCATACAACGAATATTCTAAGGTATAACATTTCCTACAGTTGCCAACAGGTAGAGCATTCACAAAAAAAAAACATGTAAGAATGATCCACTTTCAAAAAGCGTTCTGGTCTTCCTTCATGGTTGCCAATAAATTCCTAATAAACGGTACATTAAAACCGAAAGGGATGAAGCTGTTTTTTAGACTTATACTGCTACTGTAATTTATGATACCTTTTAATCACATTCCCCTAATTTCCTGGCCTCTGTAAATAACTTGGTTTTATACAATGGTTTGACATGTGTTTGGCAGCAGACTGCACGTTACCATATGGCTGGGATCTCATAGCCTATATACATGTGCTCTTTATAAACACGTCGTGGTGGCAAATATGCAACCCAATACTGGAGAACAGATCCAAAATAAATATCACCTGCTGTAGATACTATTTAGTTGGTAAAGAAAGAGTCCTCCATGACACGTTTATCAAAGTATGTCGGTGAAGATGGCTAAATCATAACGCCCTAATTAATTTTTTATGGTAATTGCTCACTTGCAGACTAATTATTTTACCTACCCCCGTGTCGGGGCGATAACTGCTAAGCTGTTTCATGGTCGTGAGACTGTCTGTAAATATTGGTAGAACAGCTAGGACTAGATCAACCATCTCGGTCGGATATGTGTTAAGTGTAGTGATATGTTAGGATTGTCGAATGATTGGTGATTCCACAGTATACTGTGTTACAACTATCAATAAATTCACTTGTGTGTCCTTTGCACAGTCTTTGATATTACAGATGGTTGACACTTCTGGTGGACTTTAAGACCCCAATGTTACCGTAACCTGCATGCCTCGTTTTGATTCATTCGAATAGTGACACAGTTTAGAACAGACGTTCCTTTAAAACTCTCACACATATTGGAATTACTGTTTTTAAATATGGAGCTGGTGCTCCATCCCACCTCTTTTTTTCTCTCTCGATCACTTTTGGTTTTAATTATTGGCCCTGAATATCACTGACAAGTCCTGGATGGCCGAAACAGATGTATGATGCAATTTCATTAAATATTTGGCTCTACTGTAACAATAACTTTCCTTAAAAGGTGTTGTTCTCTCGTGTGTCTTTGGTACAACTTTTATTTCTTCACCGTAGCAAATATATGCATCTGTCATAGATGGTTGTCGATTAAAGCACTTAGAGGTGATAACAAGATCAACTGCAGGTCCTTTTTATCAAAGATTGACATAAAAGAAGCAGAATTAAATGTTTGAACAACTTCACTAGTTAAATTTGAATGAAATACTTGTGTGAAATACTAGCCTGAAATCAAACTGATTTGACTGCTTCTATGGGACAATCAGGATGAATACGCATAAGGAATTGTCTTGCGAGGTAATCTAGAGTTAACTAAGACCTCTCCGAATGAAGCATCAGGTCTTTTTATATATCAAATGCTCTATCACACTGCAATAAAACTGTAATGGAGAACGGAAATAAAGTTTGATAATAAAATCCTTATCGTCAAGGGCATTAGTTCGTGCTGTGGGAGAGCGACACATCAGTGATCAAAGGGTATTGTATCGGAGGCATCATCAACCCCAGTTGCTAATACAGCGGGAGACATGTGACAGATATTTTGTCGATGGTTCCGGTTACAAATGTCGCTGATGAGAGGTCTATCTAAACTCATTATCACTGCCTATCAGCGCGTGATTTATCTGTCTCGTAGCAGGGGAAAATGGCAGCCGATACTAGCCGGAAGTTCTACGTCTCATTACATCAGGCAAACCACTTTAACTCAGATAAGCAAAGCTTCGCATCTATTTTCTTTAACCATTATTATCAACGTCAAGTACATGGACGTGTCATGGAAAAAGTATACGACATTTGGAGGGGTTGTCTTCCGCTATTTGGTTCCGCTCTCTCCGTTAATGAATATCGTGATATGTTGAGGTGTGGTCAGAACAATTTACCCTCTTAAATTAATGCCACCATTAAATCTAGTCCGACGATTGATCCTTTAAATCCGAATTGAAAAACAAAACCTGATTTTGAACAAATTGGGGAAGTAATTTCAGGAAGGATATGTGGTAATATTCGGATATGCTTGTATTCTGTTGAGTTATCAATCAATGAGGTCCTAGGG